CTACCACAATATCACACAGGTATCAACTGGCAAATTTTCTTCTATGTTTAATTATTTTGATTTTGTTTTATTGTTTCTTCATGTCTCACAAAGTCATTAGCTTCCACTTACCCAATTCTCATTTTAAGGAATTATTTTCTACAGTGAGCTTTTGTACCGCCTTTTCCATTTTAGCCAATTCTACTTTTTAAAGGAGTTCTTTTCTTCAATGAATTTTGGTACCTCTTTTCCCATTTGGCTATTCTGTTTTTTTAGGTGTTATTTTCTTCAGCATTTTTTGTGCCTCCTTTACCAAGCTGTTGACATTTTTCTCATGATTTTTAAAATTATTTTATTTTATTTTTATTTTTTCTCATAATTTTCTTGCATCACTCTTCTTTCTCTTCTGAATTTTCCTCTTTCTTACTTAATTTAGAATCATTTGTTTATTTTTAGTTTTCAACATTCACTTCCATAAGATTTTGAGTTCCAAATTTTCTTCCCCCCAAGATGGCATGCAATTTGATATAGGCTCTACACATACATTCATATTAAACTTATTTTCACATTAGTCATGTTGTAAAGAAGAATTAGAACCAACAGGAGAAACCACAAGAAAGAAGAAATAAACAAACAAAAAAAGAAAGAAATCAAATAATATGCTTTGGTCTGTATTCAGATTCTATAGTTCTTTTTCTGGATGTGGACAGTGTTTTCCATCATGAGTCTTTTGGAGTTGTCCTAGATCTTTGCATTGCTAAGAAGAGATAAGTCTTTCAAAGTTAGTCATCGTATAATGTGGCTGTTTCTGTATATAATGCTCTCCTGGTTCTGCTCACTTCACTCAGCACCAGTCCATGTAAGTTTTTCCAGGTTTTTCTGAAGTCTGCCTGCTCACCGTTTCTTATAGCACAAAATAGTATTCCATTACATTCATATACCACAACTTGTTCAGCCATTCCCCAACTGATGGACATCCCCTCAATTTCCAATTCTTTGCCACCACAAAAAGAACTGCTATATATGTTTTTGTATATGTGGGTCCTTTTCCCATTTGTATGATCTCTTTGGGATACAGACCTAGAAGTGGTATTGCTGGGTCAAAGGATGTGCACAATTTTATAGCCCTTTGGGCATAGTTCCAAATTGCTCTTCAGAATGGTTGAATCAGTTCACAACTCCACCAACAATGCGTTAGTGTTCCAATTTCCCCACATCTTCTCCAGCATTTATTATCTTCCTGTTTTGTCATGTTATCTTACTTGATTTTTAAGATCCTTTTTGAGCTCTTCCATTGCCTGAGACCAATTCATATTTTTCTTTGAGGCTTTGGATGTAGCAATTTTGATTTTGTTGTCTTCGTCTGAGTTTGTGTTTTGATCTTCCCTGTCACCATAGCAACTTTCTGTAGTCAGGATCTTTTTCTGCTGTTAATTCATTTTTCCAGCCTATGTCTTGACTTTTAGCTCTAAGTTAAAGTGAAGTGGAGGGGGCACTGTCCCAAGCTTCAGGTTTTTTGTGCAGCTGCTTTCAGATAATTCTGGGGGCCTGTAAGTTTTCCATTCTTCCAAGGTGGTATAGTTTAGGGAGAAGTATATTTACTAATCTTCTAGCCAGTGTTCTGGTCCGTGAGTGACCACAAGCATTCTTTTCACCCTGGCACTATGACCAGGGTTCTGCCCCAGGTGCCAAATGGACCCCTGTGATTTCCTTCTGACCAGTTAGTTGTCTCACCTCCTTACTGTCCATGGGCTGAGAGGTCCAGAAACCACTGATTCAGTTGGCCCCAAGGCCTACTGCTTGTTTGCTGGGGTACAGCCTGTGCTGGTGCAGCCTGTACTGGACTGCATTTTACTTTCACCCTGGTACAACAGACCTTTCCTACCGAACTTCTAAATTGTCTTGGGTTGGAAAATTGTTTCGCCCTGCCCTTTTGTGGGTTCTGCCACTCCAGAATTTGTTTTGAGGCATTATTTAAAGTTGTTTGGAAAGTTTTTTGGGGAGAGCTCAGGGGAGTCCCTTGCCTTTTCTCCACCCTTGGCTCAACCTCTCCTCTAAGTTGTTTTTTCTTTTGAGAGTTTAAAGTCCCATCTGAGAGAAATTTTTTTTCTATTGTATTTATAATCAATGATTAAATAGGATCCAGGCTTTTCTCCTTTATTTAGGGCCCAACCACCGTAGAAGGTCAGTCAGTCTCTGAAAGATATGACTAATTGATGAGATTGCCCTAACCCTTGGGGAACATGCTCCTGGACCTTGGGCCAGACCCCACCCAACTAGGAGAATGTTTAGAGCAGGACTACATGAGGGCCAAAAGTTGTGCAGGCCTGTTTTAGAGTGTAAACAGAATCTAGTCTGGGCAAGTTCTTGCCTCAAGGAGAACAGCCCCTGTCCTTGTACCCCTCTAAAAGAGGGGTACAAAAAGAGGGGTACAAAAATTTGGTGTGACCCACCTCATGAAGGAGAAAACCAACCAAAGTGGTCTGGATAAAGATTCCCTTGTCCAGATTGCTGGAGGCAGCTGAGTGTCATGATCAAACCACATTCTCAGCAGAAGGAGCTGAAGACTTCTAGCCCACCTCCTCATTAAAAGTCTACCAGTCAGGGCTGATTTTCACTTGTTAGGGGCATTCTCTTTCAAAAAATATTTAAGGCTTTCAGGCTCTCCATGTTTTTATTTTTGGTCTCCAGAGAGAAACCACTGATTATTCACTAACCTGATTAATAAATTGATTATTTATTACGCAGAAACTCTGTCTCTTGGGGTTTTTCATTCATAACACATAATTTCTGTTACATTTTTCAATACCAAGTAAATTCTGACACTTATGAAAATTAAAATAACTCAAGAACCTTTATAGATAATGGTTTGAAATATTCAACAATTAAATTTTAAGTTATTTACATAAATTGCTTTATGGCAGGTGGGTATCAACATTTTTTTTTAATAGGGGGTAGTTGCTATGTAAAGTTTGGAAATCACTGTTCAATCATCTTGCTACTCCTACAGTTTAGGATGAGACAATCTAAGGTTTCCTCTGGGAACCATTGAAAGGTTGGCATTTTCCCAGTGTTCCCTCTAGAAGAGAATGTAGTGTCACCAGAAGGAGTACAGGATTCCCAGGGCTCAGTCCTTGTTGGTGAAAGGAATCAGGTTAGTGGCTTCTTGAAACTCCACCTGGTGGTTAAATTGGGGCTGAAATAATATGGAGAAAAGGTGGAAGGGATGGAGCAGCTTAAGTCCCTTCCTGAAGATTTTCTGTCCTAGGGTAGTGGTGAAATAGTATCTAACCCAAATAGGAGACCAGCTCCCTCCATCTTTTCTTCCTTATTCCTTCTGTAGACCTCAGAGAAGACAGAGTATTCATGTATCTTGATTATTTGTCCTAATAGAGATATTTGGTACAGATGGTAATGGTACAGATAATTCTAAATAGCATATGATTGAAGAGAATTCTTTTTGTTGTTGCACACTTTGTGAACATACAGATTTTTTCTTCAGCATCAGATTTACCTTTCTAATTTTATTCTGTTTATTGTTACAATAAATTCTCATTTTCTGAAAGCTAAGAAGTGCTCCCAGGGGATCCCATGGGAAGGCAGTCTGGAATTTTATATACATCACAGATGATTTACAAACTGTGTAATCCACAAATAGGCAACTAAGTGCTCATTTTAACTACTATTTTCATCCTGAAGGTGATGGTGGTGATGAAGAAGTTTTTACCTCATTTGACTAAAATGACAGGTTGAAGGGGGAACTTCTCAAAGGCCAAATCAGTATCAATTTATTTAAGGACAGGGTTTACAGAGTATGAAGACTCCTTAGGTCTTGCTCCCTGGGAGCTTACAATTGGGAAGTGGATAGGGTCTACTGGTCACAGGAAGAAGCTCAGAAGGAAATGAACATTGAAGAGGATAGAAAAGAGGAAGTGGCACAAACCAAGGGAGGGAATTTCCAGTCTCTGGAGACAGGGGGCCCTAAGACTCATAACTGCCCTTTCTGTGATCCAACTGTTTTCTAGTCATCTAGTCCTTGTCTTCAGCCTTCCTTGCCTGCAGAGGTTAGAACCTTTCCTAAACAATGAGACAGAAAGATCCCAGAAAATTCTTGGTTCCCTAATTTTAAGGGATGAAATTGAGTGCCCTGTCTGGGATCCTCTGGGGAGAATACTAGGGAGCAAAGGCAAAGTTATGGGCAGCCTTGGCTACTAGGAATAGTGAGGTTGTTTTCCTCACTGAATTGACAATTAATTTATGCTCCTTTGATCTTTGGATGGTTTGTATGTGACTTCCAGGTACCGCTTTGCAATCTTATTTGCTGCTATTGCCCCTTTACAATGGTTACTATACTTACTATATGGACTAGAAAGTGGGGGTGGTCAGGGGAACGAGAACAAGGTAGTTTTAATACTCACTGACCCTGGGGTCTCTATACACAGATTTGCTGCCTTTTAGGTTTGCAGTAGTGTTGATGGATACTTTGATTTTTTATCACCAAAGCTAATTGAAATGAATGTTTTTGAAGTCAAAGAAACTGACCAGCTCAGCTCAACAGAACAGTTGTGGTTAATTCAGAATTATGAAGGGACACGATAGCTACCTGTAAGCATTTGAATGGTTATTATATATGGAAGAACTATTAGACTACTTGGCCCCAGAGGTCAGAAATCCGGACAATGAGAGGAACATTTCAGCACTATGTAAAGAAAAACTTCCTGCTAATTAGAGTATGATTAGTATTCAAAGAGTTGAATGGAGTGCCTAGGAAGGTAGAGCGTTTTAGTTCACTTGAGATCTTTGGAAATGCTGTAGAAGGTATTCTTTACCAGCTACAAACTGCACTAAATGACCAAAGAGGTTCCTTCCAAATCTGCAATTTTGTAAACATGTAGTTGGAGTGGCTCTTCCTACAGAGATCTGTGCTAGAGAGGATTCACCCAGTAACTGATGATGCCACGCAGAGGACTCTAGCTATTGGTTTTCACATATGTTCCCACCCACCTAGCAAATCTCTGAGCTACTGGTTTGGGACTTTGACATTCGGCTAGGGTAAAAAAGTTCAGGATTGAGGAGAACCAGCCTCGAACCTCAAAACATTACTTAGCCTGACCCGAGAAGTTACTTGTTTGCTTTGGTCTGTTCAGACACTCAAACTCAGGATCATCTGCAAAACGCAGGGTGGACGCATTGCTCCAAACTCTGGAAAATCAAATCCATTGCAATGCTCGAGCAAAGAATGAGGTTACTCCACCTACTACTAGTGGGCTTCAGCCTGGGTTTTTCAGGAGCAGGTAAGGGATATTTCTTCTCCATTACATATTCCCTCAACACTCTTTCCCCATTGCCTTACCTTTTGGGGACTTTTGGGAGATTTAGAGAATTTCCTCAGAAGAAATTGGGGGCTTTGTATGGTTTGCTTCTCCTTGGGGAAAAAAATCTACCTTGTAATGGGTAGATAGTATCTGGGGGAATCTCGTTAAGGTCAATATTGCAAAACTGCATGGACGCAGTAACAAGGAGGCAGAAGACTCCTTTCTGCACCTTTTCTCTGTTCTTGTGTATGAGGTCTTTCTCTGGGAAGGACTCTTGAGTTCTTCATTTGGATGCTTAATGAGATAGAGAGGCTTTGAAGCTTGTAGTGAAGTAGCAGGCTTGACCTGTTCCTCTATCCTGGCCCCAGCAGGGGGCTTTGTGACCCATGTGGAGAGTGGCTGTATGCTGGATGAAGAAGGATCAGTAAAGGACTTCACATATTGTATCTCCTTCAACAAGGATGTGCTGACCTGCTGGGACTCAGAGGCTAACAAGATGGCTGCTGTTGATTTTGGGATCCTGAATCCATTAGCTAAAAAGCTTTCTGAAATCCTCAGTAACGATAGTGCTTTGATGGACCGTCTGAGCAAAGGACTCCAGGACTGCGCCATTCACACAAAGCCCTTCTGGGGAGCGTTGACCCAAAGGACACGTAAGAAGGGAGGGGCTGCAGAAAGAGATCCAAGAGAATGGAAGTGGAAGAGGGGAAGGATGAAGAGGATCAGATGGATAGGATCAATATAGTTCAGAACTTGGGCAGGGGGGAAGCAGATGGGGAAATGTATGGAGATAGGAAGCCTTCCCCCAAAGGGAAATGATTTGGATTGGGGCTGGTGGTAGAAGTAGGGAATGGGGGACAATAGGATTGTGAGTTTTGACCAGGAAAGCTTGGAGGACTGAGTATTGGGGTATGATTAGTAACTGGAGTGTCTTGGAGCGGTAAGGGAGAGAACTAGACTCGGGCAGAGGGCACAAAGAATTGCTTGGATGAACTTTTCTGCAGGAGAGGATAAAAACAGTATCAAACATCATTAATTTGTATTCTCCTATTTGCATTTACCACCATTTGTGGAAGGTTAATTACTCTCGTTTCATGGCATCAGGACTGTTAAAACTATAAGGGAACTTAGAGATCATCTAGTTTAATCCCTTCCTTTTCTAGATGAGGAAACTAAACTTAAGAGTCGCTTCAAGAGGGGAAGTGACTTGTCCAAGCTTTAGTTATTCCAGAAGAAAGACTTTATATAGCAAATGCACTTTTAAAATCAAATTAGGAGGGAATTTTAATTTTTAACCTATATTTTAAAATAAACTATTAAAACAAACTCTTTAGAAATTTCTACTTACAAATGATTATGTATGAATTATAACCTTTATCTATTAATTAAAACACTAAAGTCCTGCTTCAATGAGTCTATGAATCTTCACTAGGTAATAATTTTTTAAGCTTAGTGGTTAATATATGTACTTGGAAGTTATCTGTCATGTTGTTACCACGTTCCAACAATTCAGATTTTTTTCCCCTCATTGTGTAAGAGCGACTATTACTATATAATTTTTTTCAAGAGGTAATTTTAGATGAGACGAGGAAGGAGGGAAAGGTAAAGGAGGCATAGGAAAAAGGAATTAGTGAGGCAGGAGGAAGATCTTATTTCTGAAATACAGAGGAGAAAGTGCCAATGAAGAAAGGAAAGCTATAGGGAAGGAGTCAGACATCAGGAGTAGACACAGGAAAGTAACTGAATTGAGGGAAACTACTGGTGTGTTTCTTGATCTCTGCTTCCCTTCTCCCCTGCCTAGTCTGTAACAATGCCATGCCTTCCTCTCTCCCAGGGCCACCATCAGTGCAAATAGCCCAGACCACACCTTTCAACACAAGGGAGTCAGTGATGCTGGCCTGTTATGTATGGGGCTTCTATCCTGCTGATGTGGCCATTTTATGGTTGAAGAATGGGCAGCCTATCCCAAACAGTGGCATCCAGAAGGCTGTACAATCCAATGGGGACTGGACTTATCAGACACGATCCTACTTACCCCTTACCCCCTCTAGTGGGGATATTTACACTTGCCATGTAGAGCACAGTGGAACTTCCCAGCCTATCTTGCAAACCTGGAGTGAGTGTATTTTGAGTGTGGGCATATGTTGAATACATTTGAGGAAAGAAGGGTGCCAGAGGGATTCTGTGCCCAAGGTGAGAGGGGCATCTAAGATTATAGAAAGATGGAGTTAAAGTAAGGTGGTGATATTCATAGCTGATATTTTTACATGTACAGTATCTGACTTTCATAATAATATGGGGTAACACAGGGAGTTAAGGAAGTCTTGAAAAGGAGTTATATTTCAGGGACACACCCAGGGGAATAGCATCCTACTTTGTTGAAAGCTATGGAAATGAAGTCTTAGAGGTTTTATAGACTGGGCTTTCTCAGATGGGGATGCATTGTTATGAACTTGAAAGGCAGCTAAGGTGGGGATGGAGAGCACAGTAAGAATTCCATATGTAGGACAAGTCTCCCTTAATAGAAAAGTTACAAAAGAGAAGCCTTACTCAATAGATGATCATTCAAGTAGGATAATTCCAGGCTAGGTCAGATTCTAGGGAGACTGATTGTTTAGCTAAGGAAATGATAATCAGTGTGAGATGAGAAAGTATGAGGAGATGGATGTGATAAGCATGGAAGAGATATACAAGGATCAGGAACTTTGGAAATGATGCCCTTTTTCAGAGGACTTGACAAGAAGAGGGAGTTGCCCAGGACAGTCAAGTAAAGGACATGAATAAAAATAGTCATCACAATGAGAATGTGAGTTTTCCAGCTGGAAATACAAGGGAGAGGTACACAGAAGTTTGAAGTTTTCAAATGCAGGATAGATGTAAGGTGACACAGGGATAAAGCATTTCTGCGTTTGCATGAGATAATTTAGTTTTCTGATTCTATGTATGCACTTGTGTGTGCAGGCATATGTATGTGAGTGAGGAATTTGGGGTCTGTTGGATGGGGATCCCACTAAGGGAGGCACTAAGACTGGCCCCTGTAACACGGTATCCCTACAGCACCTGGCCTCTCTCTGAAGCAGACAGTGAAGATCTCTGTGTCTGTATTGACTCTGAGCCTTGGACTCACCTTCTTCTTCCTTGGCCTGGTTGCCTGCCGAAAAGCTGGCCCCTCTGGTGAGTTACCCTTCTGAAGTGCCGTCCCTAATGTCCATTCCAAAATGTGATCGTCACCTCATTCCCTCTCACCATGACATTATCCCCACAGGCCCTTTTCTAACCACATCTTTCTTCTTTTCTAGACTACACTCCTCTCTCGGGGTCCAATTATCCTGAAGGTAACTCCAATCTCTATGTCTGTCTGTTGATTTATCTCCCATTCTTTTGGTTGGTGATGACACCTGAGCCTAAAGAAATCTCCCTATCTTTGTGGAATTGTAGAGAGTAAGAGTCTGAGCCAATTGTTCACTAACAGGGTTTATAGCAGAGGTCACCCTCTGAGAGCCCAAAATTGATACCCATCATCCAAGCAAATCCTACAGAATTTAGGAGCCCCCAGGGCATTTGACAAGGGTGGTTTTTTTTGGGGAGGAGGGAGAAGGTACAGGGGTGGGGAACCTGCAGCCTTCGGACCACATGTGGCTTTCTAGATCCTTAAGTGTGGCCTTTTGACTGAATCCAAATTTTACAGAACAAATCTAGAGGGCCACATGTGGTCTGAAGGTCGCAGGTTCCCCCCTCCTGGTGTAGAGTTTACTTTTTACCTTTTTGAGAAGGCCTAGAATGTTAAATAATGTCATTGTTCTGGAGGCTTTGGCCTGGAGGTGGACAGGGGTAGGGCTATGTCTAAGACAAACTTCTTAATGGTGGACTCCTCATCATCTTCCTTCTCTTTCTGCCATAGGTAGAAACTTCTCATAAAGGCTGATACTCTGAAGCCTCAGCTCAATGGATAGAGTGCTCGGCCTGGTATCGAGAAGACCTGACTTCAGATCTGGCCTCAGACTTGTGCGGTGTGAACCTGGACAAATCACTTGACATCTGTCTGCTTCAGTTTTCTTATCTGTAAAATGAGGCTAATAATAGCACCTACTTCCCAGGGTTGTTGTGAGGATCAAATAAGAATAATTGTAAAGTGCTTGGCACATAATAGGTATTATATAAATATTAGATTTTATTATTATCCTTTCCAATTGGGAATAGGAACTCAACTGTAGTTGGCTACCAACTAACTCCCATATCCACCTCCTATACTCTTCTCCTTATTCCCCCAAAAGCTTTCTCCTTAATTAATGTCACCTCTTTCTCAGGTTCTCTTCACTTCTCCCTTGGACACCTTGCTAAATCATCCCTCCTCACCTTGGGTTACTCAGGGAAAACTCCCTGAGGTGGGGTAGAAAGTACCTGTCCATAAGGTTGAAATGAAGGAAAAAGGGATACCATTCTGACTCTCGTTTTACTATTGGGGATGCTGAGCCAATAAGTAATCTCTGTGGAATAAATCTTAGAGCTCTTTGTGTGCAATCACTTCTCATTCCTGGGACGAAGGGGAGTGGAGAGAAGTGGCTCTGAGGTCTAGTATACTAATTCAAAACATTAAATACCTACTATATGCAAAGCACTGTGCTGCAGTTTGAGGATGCAAAGGTAAATTCAACAAATTTATTAAGCATCTGTTATAATCAGGCACTATATTAGGTGCTGGGGATACAAAGACAAAAATGAAACATTCCTTGATCTCAAAGAACTTGTATTCTATTGGAAATATACACAAATAACAAGTTCATTTCATGAAGAAGAGAGCATTCACAACACAGGGAAACAGGAAAGGTCTCATCTAGAAGGTAGCATCAGAGCTGAGGGAGCTTTGAACTAGGCTGGGGATTGTGAAGAGATAGAAGTGAGAAGAAAGTGCATTTCAGGATCAGAATAACCTGTGCAAAGAGAGAGAGGTGAGACTTGGAATATTGTGTGCAGGAAATAACTAGTAGGCCTGAGGAATGGAACCAGGTTTGTGAAGAGGAAGAATGACATGACTTGGAAAGGTAAGGGAGGTCTATATTTTGGGAGGCTTTAAGTGCTAGGCTGAATGTGTTATTTTATCCTAAAGGTAATTGGGAGCCACTGAAGGTTTTTGAATATGGGAGTATCTTAGGAATAACAATTTGGTGCCTGTGTGGAGGATGAGTAGAGGACTGCGGAAGTAGGGAGACTAATTGGGAAGCTATTATACTAGTATAGGTAAGTGGTAATAAGGTATAACTAGGGGAATAACTATGTAAGTAGACAGAAGGGAACAGAGGTAAGAGAGGTTGTGGGAATCAGCAAAACTGAGCAACAAGCGATATGAATGGTGCTGGAGAGGGAAAAATAAAGGATGAATTCAACCTGGGTGACTAGGATAGCAGTGCTGGTAATAGAAGTAGGAAAGTTTGTCGAAGGGATGTATTTGAGGATAAATATGAGTTTTGTTTTGGACATGAATTTGAGATACCTATTGGACATTTAATTGGAAATGTCCAGCAGGCAGTTGATAACACAGGATGGGATTTCAATAGAGATATTAGGGCTGGATTAAGAGATTTGGGAGTCATCTGAATAGAGATGATAATTGAAGCACTAGAAGCTGCTGAGCTCACCAAGACACTGAGTATAGAGAGATATGAGGGCCCAGGAAAGAGGAAGGTCATGCTTGGTGAGCAGGAGAAGATGATTTAACAAGGAGACAGAGTCCTTACCCTGAATTTACCAGTTAATGGCGGGGAGATGAAATGTATACAAATGAGTATAACACAAGTTAGAATACAGAGTCCTACAGGAGGCCTATTCTTACCATACCAGTTGTTCAGTTTCCTCTCCCTTGTAAACTTTGTATATACTTTATATGGTTTTCATTTACTTTTCTGTGAATATGCTGTTTCCCCCTATTAGAATGCCCTGAGGCAAGTATTTTGTGTATGTGTGTATGTGCTCGAATCTAGTATGATGCCTGGCATATACAGTTGTCCCTTTCATGTAACAATTTTCCCCATCATGGGTTTGATGTATCTAGGGTCAACATAAGAAATTAAATAAGAATTCTTTTGGGAGTTTTGCAGAAGCTGCAGATGACACACAAAGGCCAGAAGGTAACACAGAGCCTATGACCAAATACCTAACCCAAATTTTACAATAAGGTACTGTAAACAACCTATAAAAGAAAAAAAAAATCAGACTTCTTCTCTGGTGCATAGGAAAGGACAAAAATTTTTACTCGGATTTTCCAGATCGAGGGGGTGCCATGCCCCTAATGCCTGAGGTGTGGAAAGGATAACTGTAGTAATGCTTGTTGAATGAAAGGATGAATAGCAGTGATCAAAGAGAGTGCCTGAGATTCTAGGAGGTAGGGATCACTTCTGATTGGGGGAAATAAAGGAAAGCCTCCTGGAGGTGGCAGCACTTGAGCTAGGCTTTGAAGATTTCAATAGGAGATGGGAAGCAGACTGTTTAGGCTTGGGGGGTTGTAAGTACAAATGTATAGATGTAGGAGAGGGTAGGATGAAATTTTGGAATATTGTCCATAAGCATTTATTGAGCTATGTGCCAGGCACTGTGCTAAGTATTGGGGATACAAAGAACGGCAGAAGACAGTCCCTGCTGTGGAAGAGCTCACATCTAATGGGAAAAAACAAGCAAGTAAATATGTACAAACAAGCTCTATGTAGGATAAATAGGAAATAATTAACAGATGGAAGGCACTAGAATTAAGGAGGATTGGGAAAGGTTTCCCGTAGAAGGTGAGAAGTGCTCAGAGAGGAATGCCTGAAACAAGGCTGTAAAAATAGGTAGGAACCAAATTGCAGTGGGCCTTGGATACTAGACTGAGGAATTTACAATCATTTTATTATACAGACAATTAAAGTTTTTTTTGGGGGGGAAGGGTGGAAGATTGAGGGAGTTAGTGACTTTGAATTGAGGGGACCTGGAAGATTACTTTGCTTATGGTTTTAAAGGATGGATTTGAACTAGGAGATGAGTTCAGGAGATTGTCATAAAGGTAATGAGGGCTAGAAGTAGGGTAATGGCAGTAGAAGTGGGAAATCTGTGATGGATGAAATTTCACAGGTAAAATTAGAACTTGGCAACTGATTGGAAGGAATGGGGAAGAATCAAGCGAACACCTCAGGTTTCAAGATGAGTTCTATTTTGGACTTGTTGAGTTTTCGGTGTTGGAGTTGTGTGGTACAGGTAGTTAAGAAATGATGTCTCACCACAATAACGCAAAGAAAACCAACTTTCAAAAACTTTTCGAGTGACCTACTATGACTTCAAAAGACTGATGATAAAATGCACTTCCTTCTGCCAGAGAGAAAATAAGAATAGAAGTATAGAATGAGATGATGTTTTCAGATATGATCAACGTGTTGATTTGTTTTGCTTGGCTATACTTTTATTTTCACTATACTTGACTACAAGGGAGGGTTCTATTTGAGTGGAAGGAGGAATTTAGGGGAAAGTGATAAGATGCAAAATAACTCAGCAGAACACAAATTACAACAAAAGGAAACAAAAACTTCAGATAGGAGACAGAAACAAGGTGACCTTAATACTATTAAATATAATATACACTTTAAAAAATCATGTAACAGTTCTTAATTCATATGCAATGTTTTCGTTTGTCCTTTTTTGTATATTGGAATGTTTGTGCTAAATTCATAATAAATGGCATTTAAAAAAAATGTTCTCCCTCTCCCCCTGCACCACATTCACACAAATAGGATACTATGGAATGTTTGGGAAAGTTTTTTTGTAGGCTGTTGGGGTTTTTTTTTTTGGGGGGGAGGGTAATGTGTAAGTATGAAGCAAATGTAGCCACAGCAAAGGAAATGAAAATGCAAAACTCTAGTAGTTTTGCAGAAGAGGAACTTATTATAGCTAGAGCCTTTAAGCAGGAACTGGCTTGTTTGGTTTTTCTATAATTTTAGCTTGTAGTGAGGAAAGTACTTCAATTTCAGGAGTTTTATATCTATAACCTCTCTTGAGCTCCAATGCTAGCAGCATGGGGTAAGAATGCATTCTTTTTCTATCCCAACAATATAAGAGGTGCAAGTTTGTAATGATGGTGACACGTGTTGATCACAGAATACTCAGTAAAGGGTTCCTGAAGGCAATTATAGACTGGAAAATTGAACACTTCCTGGAGCAGGGAGTGAAAAAAGATGCTGAAAGAATAAGAACTCTGGGAATATGTTCTATGAGGGATAGAGAGGGAGACAGAGTAAATCAATCAACAAGTAGACTCCAGGGCAGAGACAGTCTGTCCCATCTGTGAAGACAGACATGCACTCCTAGAGAGGCCTAATCAGCAAGGTTTGGTATTGGATAGCTTCCCCCTTTCCCCGAATATCACATCCCTGAAGGAGTCTACTCTACAAAACCTCATCTTATATTCAGAGTGAGTCTAACAATGCAGAACAGTCTCTCCTAGTAGTCTCCCTACTCTCTGCCATGAGGAAGGAGGTATGGTTCATTCTCTCTTTTCCAGGACATTTATTAATTTTTCCATTATTCCAGGTCAACTTAGATCTTTCTATTTATATCAGCAGTTAAAAGAAATATTTGCTCCATAAACGTGGGGTCTCCTAGAGGACTAACCTCAGATGACCAACTTTTAAGAGCCAGAACTGAGCTGCTAAAGGGGCAGACACTAGGAAGGGAATCACCATGGCTCTCCCTCCAACCATTTTCCCCACTTAAGACTCTCCTCTTCTTCCATGACACTGTGCTTTTAGTTCTGGGCCCAGATTTCCCCATCCGTAAAATGAGGGGGTTGGACTAGATTGCTTCTTAGTCCCTTTCAGTCCTAAATCCCGAATCAATGTTTCTTCTACATGTCTAGATGTTCCTCCTCAGTCTCTTTTGCTGGATCATCATCCCTGTCCCATCCCCTCTCCCCCTCCTCAACTGTGGCTGTCCTTGACTGACTTCTTTCTTTAATACTCTCTCCCCATCTTATCAGTTTTCATGAACTTAACCATCA